GGGGGGCCACACAAGCCTCAGCTTGGTGGGGGTTAGTATCCCTTCGGCCTGTGGGAACTAATACCACCCCCAGCCGAGGTCTGTATGCTCTGGAGGCAGACATTTCTCCTCTTTCATTGTGAATCCTCAGCACCCAGCAGTTGGTGCCAGACTCATGACAGGACGTCGGTAAACACGTGTCCAATGAATGAATGAATGAATGAATGAGATCCACGAACAAGCTTCAAGAGGGCCTGTGAACCCTATAAAAGTGTGTGCAAAATATGTGTGTGTGTGTGTGTGTGTGTGTGTGTTGTACATGTGAGTTTTCTGGGGCCAGAGTTCATAGCATCCATCATGTTCTCCAAGGGAAATTGTGACTGAAAGGGATGTTCAGAGGATGGGGGCAACCAGTGTCCCCCTGATGTCCTAGCCCGATGTTTGTATCGCTGCAAACACCAGTGCACGGTGTGGGATGCGTCTAACAACTGCAGCTCTAAACAATATCCTAATATCCCCCCAGCGAGGAAGGTCCTGGGCACCTGGGTGGCTCGGGTTAAGCATCCGAATTCGGCTCAGGTCACGATCTCACGGTTCATGGGTTCGAGCCCTGCGTCGGGCTCTGGGCTGACGGCTCGGAGCCCGGAGCCTGCTTCGGATGCCGTGTCTCCCTCTCTCTCTGCCCCACCCCTGCTCGCGTTCTGTCTCTCTTGCTCAAAAGTAAACACACATTAAAAATTTTTTTTTTTTAAAAGAAAGGAATGTCCTGAAAATTCTAGGGGAGACCCTGCTCTGTGAGAGTTCCAACAAGTCCCTGTAATGCAAGGGCTGCGTTCTGCTCTGTAATAAGAACAAGCCTTCCTCTCTCCTGGGCTCTTTGACTCATTGACAGGACAGTTTGGTGAGAATAGGTGACAAGTGAGATGTTTCCTCCCAAACTGAAGAGTGTTTCCCAGGTGGCTTTCTTAATGAAAGCCCAAGAACTTGGTGGTGTCACTCCACCACTCAAAAGCCGAAGCTCCCGCAGGGGCTCGGCAGAGGCGGGCAGAACTGAACAGAGCGAGCCATCAGGACTTGCTTCCTTCCTGAGAGCTCGCTGAGGGAGCAGTTGTTCTAATGAAGCACAGCCAACGCCCCAACCCGCAAAGAACAGCTGGACCAAGCTGGTGGCTGAGTGGAGGGCCCAAGTTCCAGATTCATCTGCAGACCTGCATGGTGGTTTGTGCCCAGCTCACAGATCTGTGGATTTATAGTTTGGCCACATTGCAGTGGCTTTGAATGAGGTCATGGGGATGGGCATGGAGAATATTAACATAAGGATGGCTCGTCCCTGATGCTTTCCCAGCTCCCACCTGCCTGCCCATCCTCAAATTGTCCTGTTCCAGGAAGAGAATCTAAAGCATTCTAGAAAGGGCATTTGGCCAGGGGAGGGTACAAGACTGAGGACTAGAAGGACCCAGATGTGGAGCTCATCTCTGGCACAGGAAAACATTTGCTAAGAAGTCAGTGATATCATTCACCTCAGAGGGATCATCCTATTTGCAGAATCTTCCAGCATATAGACTAGGTCATGAGCCCCAGTCTAGGGGGAAGACTTTCTGTGGGGAAGATGGAAACTCTGAGGAATTCCTTGATAGTCCAGAGCAAGCTTCTCAAACTTTAATTTGCCTTAAAAAAAAAGACACCTGGAGAGCTTGTTAAATCAGATTCCTGGGCTCCAAATCCAGGTAGTCTATTCCGCAGGGGCCTGGTAATTTGCACTTCTAACAAGTTCCCTGGTGTGGCTCATGCTGCTGGTCCCGGGACCACACTTTGAGAACCACTGGCGGCTGGCAGATGTTTCATATTGTGCTCCATCGCGCCCCCTTGTGGGGGGAAATGGTATGAGAAAAGCAACGGAATGGGACCCCTGCCCGCATTCCCGCCTACATCCAGGACACCTTTCAGTCTATTTTACAAATCTGGTTTTGTGTGTGTGTGTGTGTGTGTGTGTGTGTGTGTGTGATAAATGAAGAACCCCTCATAAAAAGGAGAGGAGAGACCATGGGCCTGGAACAGGTGGGCCCAGGCCTGTATGAAAGGCACCCCCAAGAAAGGGGGCTTCCCACCCCACCCCGTTCCAGCGTGCCGTGTCATGAGGCAGCCTCCGCTGATAAGCGGAGAACGTTCAAAGCCAACAAAACCCTAAATAGCCAACCAGGTGAGCAGAGGCAAGGGCAGGCACCAGCTTCCGTGTGTGTCCCATCTCAGGTCAACCGAGCCCGTTCCCTCGGGCACCTGGGGCCCCGGATGTGCCCAGCTGTCTGCAGCCGGGGCAGTTTCCCTGTCTGTCTTCGGGCTTAATGCCTCTCCAGGCACACGGCAGCAGCCTGGCTCATGGACTTTACCTGGCACTGTCTGAACGCTCTCCACATCTCTCTGCCCTGTGCCCAGGCCCAGCAGGAGCCTCAGCACAGCCACCTGAGCCTCCGAGAGCCAACCTCAGGACAAGCTGATGCCCTCCTGTAGCTGGGACCCAACAACAGTAGCCGTCTGGGGTAGAGCCCAGGTTCTGGTGTCAAAGCGTGAGGCTCGAGTCTCGGCCACTGCAAAGCTAAGAGATTTGGGGTGAGGCAACCCGTCAGAAGCTCCGTTTCCTTGTCTGTGAAATGGTGACGCTTCCGGAGCCTCTGTGGGCTTTGAGCAGACCTGCCAGCATAGAGCTCCTTGTGGAGCACCTGGCGTGGGGTGAGCCCTCAGGAAATACCGGCCAATTACTCCTTAGTCTTCTCTGGACATCATCGTGTCAGCGGTTTGGACGAAGTTCGGTTGGCTAGGCTGCCGCAACAAAGGCCACACAGGGGGTGGCTCAAAACAACAGAAATTTATTTTCTCACAGTTTTGGAGAAAAGTCCAAAAGCAAAGTGTTGGTAGAGACATGTCCCTCTGGAGGCCTTGGGGGAGATTTTTTCCGTGCCTTCCTCTTCGCTTCCGATGGCGGCTGGCAATCCTTGGCGTTCCTTGGCTTGCACCTGCCTCTGTCCTTGCCTCTGTTGTCACATGACCTTCTTTCTGACCGTCTCTGTATGTCTTCCCATAAGGACACCAGTCACATGGGATTAGAGCCCACCCTAATTGAGTATGACTTCATCTCAATTTGGCTCTATCTCCAGAAGCCTGATTTCTGGTCACAGTCACAGTCACAGGAACCAAGGTCATAGGTATAGGTCACAGGAACCAAGGGTTCCGAGGAACAGGAACCAAGTCACAGGAACCTAAGGTCACAGCCACAGGAACCAAGAGTTAGAACTGGAATGTGAGGGCGTCTGGGTGGCTCAGTCTGTTGAGCGTCCGATTTCGGCTCAGGTCATGATCTCGCGGTTTGTGAGTTCGAGCCCTGCATCGGGCTCTGTGCTAATGGCTCAGAGCCTGGAGCCTGCTTCGGATTCTGTGTCTCCTTCTCTCTCTGCCCCTCTCCTGCCCGTGCTCTGTCTCTTTCTCTCTCTCTCTCTCAAAAATAAACATTAAAAAAATTATATATATAAAAAAAAGAACTTGAATGCGTATTATTAGGGAACGTGATCGAACCCGTAACACTGCCCAACTCCAGTGAGGCCACAGGGACCAGCAGGCACGAGGCCCCAGGTTCTTCGCTGTGAGGCTGTATGAGCTTCCCTAGACTTGCACTAAAATGTCCCAATGGTTGTGTCTTCCAGGGTGTTCAGACTTACACCTCTTGGATATGCTGACCCCCACTGAAAGAAAGCGGCAAGGATACATCCATGAGCTCATTGTGACAGAGGAGAACTATGTGAATGACCTCCAGCTGGTCACAGAGGTAACGGCAGCTATGGGTGCTGGTGGGGGCCGGGGATACTGGCAGAGGTTGGGGAGAAGGGGGACCTCTGTTAAGGAGGGCTGCACCCTGATTCTCAGCCTGAGAGGTTTTCTGATGCGTGGGGAGCATCTGGATGGTAAATCACACAGGAGATTTCTACCCAAGAGAAGATGGTCGAACTCTTATCCGTGGCCCTCTGAGTCATCCCCGTAGAGGGATCACTCATGTCAGGGGATGAATGAGTCCGTGAGGAGGTGTGTGGAAGGAGACACGTGGGCTGGGGACTGGGAGTCTAGACGCTCCTCGGAGAAGTGGGTGCTTAGCCACCAACTAGTTAATGCCATAGAGCAGGCCATGTAGTGTCCCAGGCCTCAGGGTTGGCATCTGAAAATGGCAGCCATGCAGCCAATATCTCGAGTCATTCCTGGTGGTACATTTTACCTCTGAGGAAAATCTGTTGCTGAGAATGAAGATGTTTTCTCCCAGGGCCCCGTGCACTGCCCTGTCCCAGAGGATGCCCCGTTTTGTCTCTCCTCCTGGGTGGCTATTGAAAGGCCTGGGCCACTTGGTCCAGAAGGATGAGGAGAGGCAGAGTTGGGAACCCCTGCTTTTCAAGAAGTCTTTTGTTTTTGCTCACGGGAAGTTGCCATGTTAGCAACAGGGGTTTACAAAGCTGAATGGCAAGATCACTCTACAGTTTGAAAAACATTGTAATAGTTTTGAAACTCCTGCTCCCCCGCTGCCCCTCACCTAACAGTTGTGCAACTATCTCCTTGGACAGCCTTAACCAGGAACGTCACCACCCGCTGCCCAGTGTTGAATGGGTACAGGAGGCGGGATGGGTTACTGGTCCAGGAGGCACATTCATGCATAGGAAGGCATGGTGCATACTTAGGAAAAGGGCCCCTTCCTCAAGACACTTGACTGTCACTAAATATGCAATCTAGGATGTCTAGGATGTGAATGTCACCCCCTTAGATGTGGCACTTTTGTGCAGTGGTCTGGTACATGCTGGGTTCAATGTCAGCTCAAGGACTCATGAAGAATAGGGCTCCCAGGGAACAGCCTGAGCCCAGCCACATTTATTTCAAAGATGGGACAGGCTGTCCCATCTCTAAAGACCTTTCAGAAGAGCGCCCTGCCTCCAGTAGGAGACGATGACCTCTTTGCAGGCAGGGGTTCGCCACGTGGGGCTGGGCGGAGAGCTGCGATTTACCCTGAGTCACCCAACCACGCAGAGCTTGGATCCTGGGCAGGCTCATTTCTTTCCTGGAGCCGCAGCCGGCCCCTGTACCAGCCCGGCCCAGGCCAAGGGCCCAGCGGCAGAAGACATCACCCAGGCTGCTGGTTAGAGTCCCTGCTTCCTTGGGCGGCTCCCCTCCGGGTGCCCGAGGCTTGTCTATGCAGCAGACGCTGCAGGGGAGCCTGAAGGAGCCGCCCACACCCACGTGCATCCTGAAGCCCCCCACTTTTCCCACCATGCCCACCCCCCACTGTGGGCAGGTAAGAGTGTGCGTGACTTTCGACAGGCCTCCGGGCTTTATCCTGGTGGAGTTAAGGCCCGTCCTCTAGAGTTCAGCCACCCTTCCCTGTAAAACAGTGCAGAGACCTGATGGGGAACCGCCCCCGCCAACCGCTCGGGTAGAGTGGGGGAGGGGCGTCTGCTGCAGAAGCTGCGGGAAGCTTCTGGGGCTCCCCACAAAGCTGCAGACGGCCCGGTCCTCTCCATGCTCTGCACAGACCTGCGTGCGTGTGTTTCAGGTGTAACGCTAACGGTTTGCTTTCTGAACTGCTTCGTTTTCTGCACCTGTAGATCTTTCAGAAACCCCTGATGGAGTCTGAGCTGCTGACAGAGAAAGAGGGTGCTATGATTTTTGTTAACTGGAAGGAGCTGATTATGTGTAATATCAAACTACTGAAGTAAGCCTCTCTCCCCTAACCCCGGCCTTGCTTCGTCCCCTCGGCTCTCACACACTAGCACCTCCGCGTGGCTTTGTCCGTGTGTCCCCCGTGCATGCCGCCCAGTGTTTCTTTCTGCCTCTTTTGCTCATTTCCACCCATAAGCACCATGATTCCTTTTCGCCCCCCCCCCCACCATGCTTCCCGCACACACACCGCCAGTTTGTCATCGCACAGAGTAAATTGCCCACTTCCTGCTTTCACTGTGGGTCTAGAGTTTCCAGAGCGAGGCCAGTCCTGGCTGCCGATCGCTGACCGGCTCCCTCCCGGGGCATGGGGTGGCTCCCCACATGCCTGCCCGCAGATCCGGGTCCCGTGGGCGAATACTGTTCTCTTGGGACATTCTTGGCTCCTGGGGGCGGAGAATGGTGGGTACCATTTGCTGCCCGTGGTCAGCATTTCCTCAGGTTAACGCTCTGAGAAGCTAGCCTGGAACCCGTTACATTTTATTCCCATTTTGGTTTTTCAGAGGCAGCTTCAGGGCCAGGGAGGAAGCGCTGGGTCAAGAGACCTGTCAAGGTCTTGACCAAGTCAAGAGACCTGGGTTTGGAGCCCAACTCACTGCCCAGCCTCTTTGAGCCTCGGGTTCCCCATCTGTAAACTGAGGGGGTTGGATTATGTCATCACAAAGATCCCTTCTAAAAAGACCCCACCCCACCCCACCCCGAGGGGCCTGGGTGGCTCAGTCAGTTGAGTGACGTCGGCTCAGGTCACAGTCTCGCAGTTTGTGAGTTTGAGTCCCACATCAGGCTCCGTGCTGTCCACAGGAATCCCCCTTTGGATGCTCTGTCCCCCTCTCTCTGCCCCTCCTCCTGTCTCTGCTCTCTCTCTCTTTCTCAAAAATAAATAAATATTTAAGATAATAATAATAATAACAACAATAATAAAAGAATACCCCAAATCTGTGCCCTGCGGGCCGTGCTTTGGAACAACACTTGCTAAGAACACAGAGTAGGCCTGTGGCGATCCAGCGGGCTGGGGGGGGGGAAGGGCCGCCCCCCACAGGGGCCCCAGGTTGAAGTGCAGCCCCGGGAACCCGGAATCCATTCCCAATCTTCATGTTCCCGTAACTGGGAAGCGGCTAGTTCCTAAATGTGATCCCTCGTTCTTGTAAAGTAATTCCAGGCCCCTCCCCCCCCCCCCACTTTCTTGAGTGTGTGTTTGGGAGTGGTGGGGGATGGGGAGAGAAGTGGGTAGAAATAAAAACATGACATGTGCTCTCTCTGTGCTCTGGAAAACAAATAATCAGAGATGACCCCCAGGGGTGCTTTGAGAAACTGTTTCCATTATTCTCCTTGAGGAGGGTGCTGTAGAAGTTTCTGAATGTAGGTACGGGGCGGATGCTTAGGCCTACATCTTGTTCTTGCTCTACTGGCTGTGTCTTTGGGCAAGTCGCTTACATTCTCTTGGCCTCGGTGTCCTCATCTGTAAAATGGGGATAATAATGGTACCTACCACTAGGGTGGCTATTAGGGGGTCTTTAAAATTTTTTTTTTCAACGTTTATTTATTTTTGGGACAGAGAGAGACAGAGCATGAACGGGGGAGGGGCAGAGAGAGAGAGGGAGACACAGAATCGGAAACAGGCTCCAGGCTCTGAGCCATCAGCCCAGAGCCTGACGCGGGGCTCGAACTCACGGACCACGAGATCGTGACCTGGCTGAAGTCGGACGCTTAACCGACTGCGCCACCCAGGCGCCCCTAGGGGGTCTTTAGATGAAAGTGCCTGCCTGTCTTCAGTGTTGGGCTCAGCCCCCTTGCCTTGGAGCCAATGGGGCTAGTTAACCCCTGAACCTACAGGAACTGAACCTGAAGGGTTGGAGACAAGTTGTTTCAAAATAGCCACAAGTTTTCTGTTGAAAATATACCTACAAGTTATTTTTATTTAAGTTTACTTATTTATTTTAGACAGAGACAGAGAGACAGAGAACAAGCAGGGGAGGGGCAGAGAGAAAGGGTGAGAGAACCCCAAGCAGGGTCCACGCAGAGCCTGATGTGGGGCTCGAACTCATGAACCATGAGATCCTGACCTGAGCCAAATTCAAGAGTTGGATGCTCACCCGACTGAGCCACCCAGGCGCCCTTGAAAACATACCTACAAGTTAAAACCTCTTTCCTTGGGCAGCAATCAGTGGGTGGTGGGGAGGTGGGAGATGCATCTCACGTCCCCAAGGGCCCTTGCCCCCCATGTCACCCTCCCTCCTGTCCTGTCAGGGAAACAGCAGCCCCTTCCTTGAGCTCTGTCACGGCCAGCCCCTTCCTCCCGTTAGCGCTGACGTGCTCCCCAGCCCCGGAGGTGGGAATTGAGAGTGCTTACAGCTGGGAAAGCCAGGCTCAGAGAGGTCCAGTGACTTGAAGTCACACAGAAGGCAAGCCTGTGTCCCAGGCTGCTCTGTGGATGACCTGCTGGAGGTTCCACCCCATCCTGCAACCGATGGAAAGAACGTGGAGCCAGGAGGTGAATGTCCTAAGTTTGTGTCTGGCCCCCAGCACCTTCTAACCTGTTCTGGGCAGTTTCCTTGGGCAGATCCCTCTCGGACCCCTTGTCTTGGGACCTGTCAACTTGTAGGTGTGGTGCCTGCCTGGTCGGGCATGCAGGGTTATCCTGAGGAGCGAGGAGGTGAGCCGTACCCCTGGCACACTGTCAATCATGTCAAACATGCCTGCACAGCACCGTCTTCCTGCCATCACAGTGTCCCTGTGCTCTGTCCCCTTCCTCCGATGACCCGATCAGTTAGCTTGGGTGAACTAATGTTTTTATATCCTAGATGAAATATTTAATAGGAGCCTTCTGGGGATCTGATTTCTTTCTTTTTTTTTTCCCTTTTCTATGTCACTATGAAAAATTTTAAACAGAAAAATGAAAAGAAGTATAAGGTGAACGCCCATATTGTGGATTGTGTAGTGAACATCTTGCTACATTCCTTTGCTGCATAGACTTGATTTCTCCTGCAAAGGATTAACCCCAATGATGGGGGGATTTGGGGGCCCCTGCAGGCTAGAAGAGGAAGGCTTTTTTTGGATAAAGAGATGTAAGGCAGCAATCCCTGCAAGGCCATATATCTGCCACTCCCGATCCAAGGGCCAGTGACTCCTTGAACTTGGGGTGGGAGGGGGAAGGACATGGGATTTAGGAGACAGATAAATAAGAAACAAATACAATGAAAATAAAGGGGTGCTAACTGGGACATAGGACTTCCTACTAATGATGCCTCTGGTTGGGGTCAGAGCGGATGGTTTGTTCTCTTGCTGGTGAGTGGAGAGCTGTGAAATTTGCTTTTAAGAAACAGAGTAGGACAGAAAGATCTAGAACGTTTTTATGTTAAGAGTGGGCACAGGCCCCTGAGTATAGCTGTCAGAAGTGATAGAAGGGACACAGAAGTGACATAGGGCTGTGCAAACCAGGTGTTAGGGACTGTTTTTTGTGTATTTTTAAAAATTTTGTAAAGTTTATTTCTTTTGAGAGAGACAGAGAGACTGCGAATGGGGGACAGGTAGAGACAGAGAGAGGGAGAGAGAATCCCAAGCAGGCTCCGCCTGGAGGGAGGGACCTTGGGGCTGGGGGCGGGGCATGGAGGAGAGGCCGGAAGCAGAGACAGGGAGAGAAGCAGAGGGCTGTGGAAGGAGAGAAGTGGAGAGAAACCTGGCCGGAGGGCAGGAGCTGCTTCCGGAGGAAGGGCGGGGCCTGCGCAGAGCAGCTCGGGAGTGGAGGCGGGTCTGGACGCTGTGTCTGTTGGCTCACGCTCAGTGCTCAGGGACCTGGAGCTCCGGGGTCACAGGTCACACCTCCTGGGTTCAAGGGCTGCTCCCGTCAGTATTAGCTGTGTGAGTTTGGTCAGGTCTCTCGGTTTCCCTAGGCCTCAGGTGTGCCAACAGCCAATAGGGAGAGTTAGCAGTACACATGAGAGTGTTTGTTTGATACGTAAAGGACGTATTAATAAATGCAAGCTCTGTTGACCATGTGCTTGCTCTGCGGACCTCAGAGGGTCGGGAGTGCTAATTCATCCAGCAAACACCGAGCGCTCTTTGAAATGTCCATTAGCTGATTGCTTATCAGCCGTTCACGGCCTCCACCCAGTAAACCTTTAGATGAGATTACAAACCAGCTCACCAAAGGGCAGAGCTGTGGCAGTTGAGTCACGTGACCCGGGAGCCTGGTGACACCCTCTGTTCAAACCCATTCAGGCCCAGTCCTGCCTGTGCGGTAGAACATCCCAGAAGGAGACCCACGAGTGAACCTAACAGGTGCCTGGTCCATAGTACGAGCCTGGTTTTAGGCCTGGCCCCTAGGTGGACAGCTCGAGTCTGCAAGTGTGGGGTTCCAGAACCCAGGCGTTGGTTTAACCTCTTCACGACAATGCCCATCTTTCTTCTTTTCTCCTTTCCTTGTCTCCTCCATTGTTATTTTTTTAAGGGGGTGGGGGAGAGGGTGGTACTTTTATTCTCTTAGTGAAAGATTCTTTTGCTCCTCCTCATAGGAAAATGATGGAATGATGGAATTTCTTCCACTGTCCATGCATAACCAGTTTGTAACATGGTTATTCAGGGCTCTGGTCCCCCAGAACTGGGGGTGACATCATCCCCAATTGAGCAAGTTGAGGAAATTTCTACACGTTGGGAGATATTCCATACCAACCCCCTCAATGAGCAATGGCCATTTGGCTATTTTGAGGGTATCAGGCTGCCACCCCTCTCCCCCCAAGCTGCCAGTGTTGATAGGCATCTCTCCCTACAAGGGCATCTGCAGAGAGAGAATTACTAATTGTTCAGACCACATAATTTATTTTCCCTAAAATTTCTCTCCCTGACTTGTTTGCCCAGTCCAAGGATTATTCCTTTAGCCAAAAATGTAGGAGAAAGAAAATAATGTGATGTGAAGTTTTTAAGGCCTAATGCTAATATTGCAAAGCTTCCTTGGAATCCTATAGCTTTATCCTTACCTCAGGGCTTCTCTAACATGACCATGAAAGCAGCCAAAGGTTATGTGAAAATCATATATTGTACCATTCCGTTTCATCCATCCATCCATCCATCCATCCACCCATTCACCCATCCATCCATCCATCCATCCATCCACCCATTCATCCATCCATCCATCCATCCATTCATCCATCCATCCACCCATTCATCCATCCATCCATCCATCCATCCATCTATCCATCATCATTGGGGTAGGCAGAACACATTCATGCCTCATGTTGTGGTCCTGCCGTCAGGGTGCATTGCTATCCTTGCTGGCTAGAAGCCCAGTGATATGTCCTCTAGAGGCTGGTGTTAGGAGTTCTCATATTGGAGTTGGAAGGTTGGGATGCACAGTCTTGGCTCTCATGGCCCTGAACACTCAGGCTGCCGCTGGACCCAGAACAAACCTTTCCCAGTCCCATCAGTCTCTCCTCAGCCTCCAGGATGTGAATTGTGTGGGTTCATTGGTCCATTATCATATAAACAGGCTTCTCTTTTCAGAACCCCGTAATCCAGTCAATTTCAAATTCGCCACAGCAATGAAGCAGTGAATGACACAGATAGTCCAGACAATCATTTGTACCTGGCTTTGGTGACATAATGGGATTATTTTTCTGTGGCAGTTGATTTTTACCATCTTAATTATGTTATGTTCAGTCTGAAAATGAGCCTTCATGTCCCTTGGCAACAGTAGCCTCCCTTGGGTGGCACTGGTCCGGAATCAGACTCAGTGCTGGGGCCACAGTGGCCTGGGACTTTGACCACAGATCGTCTATGAAGTGAGACATCAACACAGAGATCCTGTCTGAGTTACTAAATAACTGATTCCGTATTTCTCCATGAGAAAAATACTATTTTTCATGCTGACTCGTTCAGCAAAGATTTCTTTGAAAAGTTTTTATTCCTAAGAACCAGCCAACAGCCATCATGCCAGAGAAAAATGGCCCGGTGATACCTCTCTGTAGCACTAGACTCATTTCTTTTCTGTTCCTTGTCTCCCCAGTAGATCCTTTAGTGGCCCTGGGTCTGTGCCCCTCACACACATTCTGTTTCTGTACAACCTAGAAGTGCACCATGTCACCGTTGGCTGAGGGTAAAGGCAGGGGGCTCACTTCTCACGTTCCCGTGCAGAGCGCTGAGAGTCCGCAAGAAGATGTCTGGGGAGAAGATGCCTGTGAAGATGGTCGGCGACATCCTGACCGCCCAGCTGCCGCACATGCAGCCCTACATCCGCTTCTGCAGCTGTCAGCTCAATGGGGCTGCCCTGATCCAGCAGAAGACGGACGAGGCCCCGGACTTCAAGGAGTTTGTCAAAGTAAGGAGCCCAGGCTGAGCCGAGCCCCGGCCCCTGAGTGGTTGTCGCAGGACAGCTGGGGGTGCGAGGAGCGAAGTCAAGCCTGCAAGCTCATTCCTGCTAAAAGCCAACAGGACTCAGGTCTTGGCTGAGCAACAGGGGTGATGTGAGCTGGCAGGTGTGGCCGTGACCCAAGGGGTGGACGTGGAGAGGAGGGGCCAGCCCTGCGCCCTGCAGCTCTGATCTGTGGTCCAGGAGTGTTAGTGGTGTTGTTTGGATGCAGGTTTTAATCTTCTGTCTCATTTGTCAGGCCCAGCACAGCTGGCGCCCCTCAGGTTTCCTATTCTGTTTGGCCTGAGCACCCCAGTTCTTTGCTGCAGAGGGAATGGCCAGGAATCCCAGTGGACCCTTTGTTCCTTTTCCAGTTTGTTCTTGTTGATGGCCTCAAACCCTAAGAAGCCTGTGGGGGTGACTGTGGGATGCAGGACGTCTACCTTGGGGTAGGGGGATGTCGAGAGCCATGTGTCCACCAAGGGACGTCTGGGGAGGTGGGCCCCATGCTGCTGGAGGCTCCGGGCCCTGGGACTTGGCATTGACTGGGGTAGGTCCCTGCTGGCCCCACTGGCCCATTCAAACAGCCCCCACGTCTCCCAGAGAAAAAACCATAGGAAGAGAATCAAATAATTTCTGCTAAACAGTTACATTTTAGGGAATAGACCAGTAACACTAATGGCAGGCTTATCTTTGTACCTTGTGCATTTGGGGGCAGACCATTCCCTCTGGCCCAATAATCGTGTTTGTGGAATCATCACTGTGAGGTACAAGGGTGTTCCCTCCTTGACCATTGCATCATATGATGCTTGTTCTTTCTTGTTCCCCTGGTGTTTCTCAACATGAAATGCTTTGATTTGCTCTCCAGTGAATCCGGACATTCTAAAGTCATTCAAAGGGGAGAAATTTCGGTAAGAAGTAGGCCCAGGGTGGCCTAGAGACTGGAGAGCAGATGCTCGGCCACCTGGGGTTTCAGCCAAGGGCCAGTCCTCCCTGGGCACAAGGCAGGATGAATTCATCACTGGATGCACTTGAACTTGAGGGAAATGCTGACACCACCCAGGGCAGGGGGCTTATTTCCGTTCCCTGATCACCTCCCCTCACCCCATCCCTGAGGGGTTTTGATGTGCCCTTGCCAGGTGTGAGGTGTTCCTGCAGTGATGATGTCCACGTCTGGGAGCAGATTCAGACACTGACAGTTGGGGCCCAGGTCACGGCAGCCGCCTGTTTCTAAGGCTTTGTTAAACCTGACCAATGCCTTTGAAAGCTGAGTCACCATGTTATCCCTGTGACTTATGGATGGGATCATCTTTTGGGGGTAAAAGGACTCTTTCCCCCAGTTGAGTTGAAAAAAGGGACAGGTGGTCTAGGGTGGGGACAACTTTCAGGACTTGAGATTGCAGTCCTCACCCCTCATGTCTCAGCTCCGCTGTCCTTGCCTGCCTGGGGCTCCCACAGGGATGTGCAGGCTGCATTTGAACCAGACAATGAGATCCAGCCCTCGTGCCATCTCTGGGACTTAAGGGGGATTTTTATTCTAATTCTACAGTCTTGTGTCTCTTCTTATTCCTGGGACTGTTATAAAGCTCTGGCAGATATCCAGAAGAAATATTCTCTGTAAAGTCAGAATCTCATCTCTGTAAGGGAGGAATTGTATGTCCCAGGGAGGGTGTGCTGACTCTGGAGACCAGGACTTAACCCTGGTGGCTGAGTCACATCCACTGGTGTCCAGTGTCCATCTGGAACGCGCCTCATCCTGGACCAGGATAATGAGTCAGGCCCTTCCAACTCCAGGCTCCTCAGTTCTGGTCCAGATAAATGAGACAACGTGATGGGTGGGGAGTCCTCAATAACATCAGTGTTGATGTCACTGACTCGGTTTTGCAGATTTCTTAAGTGCATTTAAAACATCTCTCATTTCAGAGACTGGCAATGGACCCTCGATGTAAAGGGATGCCACTCTCTAGTTTTATACTGAAGCCTATGCAACGGGTAACAAGATACCCACTGATCATTAAAAATGTAAGTAGCCATCTCACCTTTTCAAGCAGAAGAATGCTTGCTCAGCATTTCAGGGATCCGGGGTCACGGGCAAGTTCCCCAGCCAATGCACCTGGTATCTGTTGTATCGAATCATACACCAATGGGATGTTGGAAGCATCTGCTTGGTAACTCAGAAAGAAAAGCTGTTTATTGTGAAAAGAGCTAATGATATACAGTCTTCAGCTGTGATACCAAGTGGCTTTTACCCTATAAGTTGGAAAAAGGGAGCTCAGTTCTTGGTTCTTTTCCTAATAGAGGTGTAATGCCTTCGTGCCTCATTTTCCTACCAAGAAAAAGAAAGAAACGTAATGCCGGCCACCCATCCTCAGAAAGCCATTGTGAAGCCATCTCACAATGTCTCCATCTGCAATATGAGGGAGCAGACTCCGACATCCTCTGAGCCTGTGATTATATAACCACAGGGGGGCTAGCTCCTGGAGACGGGCTTTAGATTTGGTTCCGTTTAGTGGAGACTTTAGACGCCCTGATCTGGGCACTGGTGTGCTCATTGCGATTGGGGTGTTATTGCCATTTGAGTCTCTCAGTGGTAGAGTCAGGAAATATATGTATGTATTATATTCATACACACATACTCACATATATGTAAGTGTACACACATACATTTATATTTATGTCTAGATCAATCCATGTATATAAAAATGCATATTAAAACCTATGAGTTGACACTGATACCTCCTGTTATAATCTTTAGCCACAGAATTTATTCTAACCTTCCTCCTTTCTATACTTATAACTTTTCTATGAGAAACCTGCCTCTCATTATCCTCAGTATGTTTAGTAATTTTCTCAAACTCTTTATAGTAACACATCTCCCTCCAGTCTCCTCAGTTCAACCCCAGCTTGAGGCCACAAAATATACTCTGGCCACCTTGGCTGAATTAAATGATTAGATTGGAAGCAGGCCTTCGACCTACTATCTCCTCTCTTCCAACTTGACTGTTACTATTTAACTAGCTCAGTACTTCTGTTTACTTCCCCCAATATTTAATTGCACATTGGAGTTGGAAACAGGCTTTTCAAATAGGTGTTTTAGATCTAGCCAGTGAGGAAAGGGGGACAAAAACAAGAAAAGAACTGAGAGTCATACATATTAAAGAGGAAAAAACAAATTATAGTTATTTGCAGAAACATGCTTGCTGCCCTTTCAAGGACCTGAGAATGAACTGAAAAATAGTGGAGCTAAGAAGAGATTTTTAAAAGGTAGCCAGTTATAATACATATGAAAAACCGTCAAATTACTAAGATGAACTATTTTTTATGAGACTGAGGTGGAGAAATTCTTAGCATGGCACTAAGAAAAGAAAGGTAAAGGATTTAGAGTTGTAGCAACTTAAAAAAATATTTTAGTCTGGATGTTCATTAAGTAGAGCAAATAAATTGTGATAGATCTGTACTATGAAAATATTTTTAAAAATAGAGACTTTTATGAATTAGCATGGAATGACATCCAGAAAATGCTATTAAGTTAAAAAAAAAAGGGCGGGGGGAGGGGGACACCTGGGTGACCGACTCTTGATTTCAACTCAGACCTTGGTCTCAGGGTTGTGAGTTCAAGCTCCGCATTGGGCTCCACACTGGGCATTAAGCCTACTTAAAACAAAACAAAGCAAAACAAAACAACACCTTTCATGAGTAATCCTACAGTGTGGTTCATTCTGCAAAACAGAGGACAAGCTCTATGTGTGATTATTAAATATGTGCAGAGCATCCAAAAGTAGTTAAAGGGATGCCCTTCAGTCTGTTATCTCTTGGGTAGGATAGTGAAAGGCAACTTTCACTTTTGCTCTGTGTACTTCTGTATTGTTTGAATCTTGCATATCAAGAATGTGTCAATATATTATTTGTAACAATGTTTTTCCTAAAAGTTTTCTGTGTGACAAAATATAATGAACAACATCAGAAGACAAATGACAGATGGAACCTGGGTAAATATATTTCAGACTGTATGTAAGTGGGTGCTGAAATATACATAGATGACCTACCTGTATCTCTGTATTTATCTATGTGTCTACCTATCCTCTAAGTAAGGCAACTTACAGCTCAAAAGGAAAAAGATAAATACTCCAGAGGGAAAATAGGTAAAATATACAGCTAGATATTTCTGGGAGGCAGTGCAGAATAGCAGTAAGGAACACAGTCAGGAGACAGGCTGCTTGGGTTTGAATCTCAGTCCCCACTGCTGTATACCCTTGGGTTAAGTTACTTAACCTCTTTGGGCGTCGGATGCCTTATCTGTAAATTAGGAACACTAATACTACCTACTGCAAAGAGTTGTGAGAATTAACCAAGTTAGTATATGTAAATGTACCAAATTTAAATTAACTAGTAATAAAAGAGACGCATGGCCACACAAGAAAATACCTTGCTTTGGGCTTGCCAGATAGGCATATATTGAAAAGATTGTAGGTCAACAGTGTTGACAAAAATGCTGCTTGAAGGTAAAGTCGTTCAGGCTCTTGGAAGGTGTTGGACAGATCAAACTGCACATTCTCTTTGGCTCAACACTTCCACCTCTAGGAATTTGTCCTAAAAAAAATAATCAGAGAAATATTTAAAAATTAGGAACAACATGAATTTTTATGGGAAGGGAACTATTTAAATGACTTGTAGTTCATCCTTACAACGATGCATCATAGAATCCTTAAAAATGATAGCATAGGTCCACAGGATATGGGCATCAAATGATATTGTGTAACTGCTATTAAGTGGGGGGAAAAACAGTGTGCAAAATGGCATGATTTAATTTTTATTTTCTAAAAAGTTGTGTGCGTGTGTCTGTGTGTGTGTGTGTGTGTGGTGTGTATGTGTAGGCAGAGCATTTAACTAATGTACACACAGAAGTTCTCTCCAGATGGGGAGATTATGGGTGATTTTTTAGGTTCTTTTTTTTTTATTTAAAAAAAATTTAAAAAAGAATTTTAATGTTTATTTACTCTTGAGAGACAGAGCATTAGCAGGGGAGGGGCATCGAGAGAGGGGGACACAGAATCCGAAGCAGGCTCCAGCCCCGAGCTGTCACCACACAGCCTGACGCGGGGCTCGAACTCACGAACTGAGATCATGACCTGAGCCGAAGTTGGACACTTAACCGACTGAGCCATCCAAGCGCCCCTTAAAAAATTTTATTTTACATTTATTTATTTTTGAGAGAGAGAGAGAGACAGAGCACAAGTGGGTGGGGGGGAACAGAGAGAGAGAAGGAGACACAGACTTCAAAGCACGCTGCAGGCTCAGAGCTTTCAGCACAGAGCCCGACTTGGGGCTTGAACTCATAAACTGTGAGATCATGACCTGAACCGAAGTCAGACGCTTAACCAACGGAGCCAACCGGGCACCCCAAGTTCTTTATAACTTGCTGAATTTTCTGAATTCTGAATATTGTACAATATTACAGAAAAATCAATAAGGCCATTTCCATTTTGAAACAAAACAAAGCAAACTATTAGAACTAATAAGTTCAGTGAAGTTGCAGGATACAAAATCAATACACAAAAATCTGTTGCATTTCTATACACTAATAATGAACTACTGGAAAGAGAAATTAAAGAAACAGTCCCATTTACAATTTCATCGACAAGAAGAAAACACCTATGAATAAATTGAACCAAGGAGTTGAAAGATCTGTGTATTGAAAGCTGTAAGACATTAGTGAAAGAAATTATAGAAGACACAAATAAATGGAAAGATATTCCATGCTCATGGATTAGAAGAATTAATGTAGTTAAAATATCCGTTCTGCCCCAAACAGCATACAGATTCAATGAAAGCCCATTCAAAATTCCAACATTTTTCACAGAAATAGAACAATTCTAAAACTTGGAGCCATAAAAGACCCAAATAGCCAAAGCAATCTGGAGGAAGAAAAACAAAGCTGGAGTCATCACACTCCCTGATCGCAAACTATATTACAAAGCTATAATAATTAAAAAAAAAACAGTATGGTACTGGCATTAAAAACAGATACATAGATCAGTGGAACAGAATAGAGAACCCAGAAATAATCCCATGCATATATGGTCAATTAGTTTACAATAAAGGAGCCAAGAATATATAATAGAGAAAGGACAGTCTCCTTAATAAATGGTGTGTGTGTGTGTGGGGGGGGGGATGCACCTGGGTGGCTAGGTCAGTTAAGTGTCTGATTTTGGCTCAGGTCATGATCTCAACAGTTCATGAGTTTGAGCCCCACATCAGGCTCTCTGCTGTCAGTACAGAGCCCGTTTCAGATCCTCTGTCCACCCCACTTTCTCTGCCCCTCCCCTGTGCACAGCCTTCCAAAAAATAAACATTATTAAAAAATTAAATCAATCAATCAATCAATCAATCAATCAATCATGTTGGGAGAACTGGACAGCCACATGCAAAAGAATGAAACTGGACCAATGTCTTACACCGTACACAAAAATTAACTAAAAATGGATTAAAGACTCGGATGTAAGAGCCCAAACCATAAAACTCCCGGAAAAAAACAGGTGGCAATCTCCTTGACAACGCGAATAGGTCTTGGCAATGATTTTTAAAAATCTGACGCCAAAAGCAAAAATAAACAAATGGGACAACAGGAAACGGAAAAGCTTCTGCACAGCAAAGGAAACTGTCAACGAAATGAAAAGGCAACCTACTGAATGGGAGAAAATATTTGCACATCAAAAATCGGATAAGGGGCTAGCATCCAAAGTATATAAAGAACTCATACGACTCATATAATAGCAAAAATAAATAAATAAATAAAAAAACTCCCACGAACAATCCGATTTAAAAATGGGCAGAGGATCTGAATAGGCATTTTTCCAAAGACAACATATAGATGGTCAACGGGTACCTGAACAGATGCTGAACATAATGAATCATCAAGGAAATGCAAATAAAAATCATCTCACACGTGTTGGAATGACGATTATAAAGAAATAGCAAGGGTTGATAAGGATGTGGAGAAAAAGGAACTCTTACCCACTGTTGGTAGGAATGTAAATTGGTGCAGCCACTATGGAAAATAGTAAGGAGGTCCCTTGGAAAATTAAAAATAGAGCTACCGCACAATCCAGGTATTCTACTTCTCAGTATTTACCCGAAGAAAACAAGAACAGTAATTTGCAAAGATAAATGCACCCCTATGTTCATTGCAGCATTATTTATAAGACATGGAAACAACCAACTTGTCCACTGATGGATGAATAGATATATAAATTATGATGTAAATATATTATGTATAACATGTATAATATAATTTATATAATGGAATATTATTTAGCCATTAAAAAGAGTGACGTCTTGCCATTTGCAGCGACGCGGACCTCGAGGGCATTATGCTAAGTGAAATAACTCAGACACAGAAAGACAAATACCATATGATCTTTCTTATATTTGGAATCTGGAAAAAATTAATTAAAAAAGCCTCCCAAGCTCACAGATACAGACAACAGATTGGTGGTGGCTGGAGGCAGGGGTAGGCGGTGGCATAAATGGGTAACCTGTTTTTGTTTTTTTGTTTTGTTTTGTTTTTAGTTCAAATAAATTGAAGAAGAAAAAAAAGGAAAGCAAAACGAAACAAAAAGAAAGACAAATGAATTCACACAAGGCAGCTGTGTGGGCTCCCAGTCTAGCACTGTAATCCTCAGGCTGGGCTGCACGTTAGAATCACCTGGAGAGCTCTAGAAAATTCCTACGCCCCCAGGGATATGGTCAGGGATGACAACAGGAGTTTCCAAAGGGATCCTGACCTCAGCCGGGATTTGGCCTGGAGGGTGGGGCCCTTGGAGATGATCGGTGGCCACGTAGGACCCAGAATGTGCATTTTTCTCAAGTTAGGGGCTTACCTAGGACTTTAAGCCAAAGTGTACCTTTGAGATGAGATATTATTTGAGGTTAGGTCCATGTGAATTATTTGTGTTTGGACAAAGCCTCGGTAGGTACACCCGATGATAATTGTTCCCTTTTACTGAGCACCTTCTAAGGGCCAGGCACTTTGCAAAGTACTTTACTGTATCAAATCACTGAGTCCTCCAATCTTATAAAGGAAGTGCTGTTAAAGTTTTTTTTAATGTTTATTTATTTCTGAGACAGAGAGAGACAGAGCATGAGTCTGGGAGGGGCAGAGAGAGAGGGAGACACAGAATCGGAAGCAGGCTCCAGGCTCCGAGCCGTCAGCACAGAGCCCGACATGGGGCTCGAACTCACGGACTGCGAGATCATGACCTGAGCCGAAGTCGGTCGCTTAACCAACTGAGCCACCCAGGCGCCCCCAAAGGAGGTGCTGTTAGCATCCCTACGTTTCATATGAGGAAATTGTGGTTCAGAACATTTACGGGACTGACCCATAGCATGCCTGGTCAGTCGCAGAGCAGAGATTTTAATGCAGGAGGTGGAGCCCTAGGACTGGCACTCTTAACCGCTGGCCTCGAGGGTTCTGCCCAGAAACAGGCACATTTGCTCAGATGTACCCCTTTGCACACTGGTCCAGAGGTGCGCAGGTTGCTGCAGCTGTGCACGGACCCAGGAAAAGAGCCATTTATTTTCCAGGGAGAAATCCATGTGGGGTGTATAATGCGCTCGCTGCAGCCACTGCCCTCCTCATACCAAAGTATAAATAATGTGGTGTCCCCTGCCTCCCGAGGGGCCCTGGCCAACAAGGAGTGGCCGTCACGCTCGCATCATTGCTGCAGTTGGGTGCTCAGAGCTGCGGTTTCTCATGTGAGCACCCATCAGGAAAGGTCCAGGCCCTCCTGTGCTGGGCCCCCCCAGCACAGGGGACCCCAGGTCCACCTGCACCGCCTGAGGCTGCCGTCTTCTGTCCTCCCGTGTAGATCCTGGAAAACACTCCTGAAAACCACCCTGACCACAGCCACTTGAAGCACGCCCTGGAGAAAGCGGAGGAGCTGTGCTCCCAGGTGAACGAAGGGGTGCGGGAGAAGGAGAACTCCGACCGGCTGGAGTGGATCCAAGGCCACGTGCAGTGTGAAGGCTTGTCCGAGGTAACTGCCTTCGGGCTGGGACCCGGGCCTCCCTCCCGCTGAGCCTCAGCGGCGAGAAAGATCGTGAACCGTCCTCTCCAGACTACAGCCTGTTCTGTCTCCAGCTGCCTCTCCCCTGCTCCTGAACCTGTCCCGCTGACTTTTTAATTTCTGTATTGCTTTCTTCTCCATTTTCGACAGTTCTGTTTGTGTTGTCGGATCTGCTGGTTCCTCTCTTGTGTCTTGTCCTTGCACGTGTGGCCATGCTCTGCGTTTTTCTTCCCCCACCACATTTTAAACATATTCCTGCATATCTCACAGCAGAGAAGCATAGTATCTACAGTTACGGATCTCGTTCCCTTCTGCTGTTTCTGCTAGCTGTCACCGTGCATGCCTGCTTCTCTGTATGTACTGTGATTTTCGATCGTGAGCTCAGTGTCCCTTGGAGCTTTGTCTGTGGGACCTTGGAGCTCTGAAGTTGCATTCCTCCTGAGAGAATTGCTACCAGGATCACCCTAAGTTTCACGTAGAGGGGTTTTTGGATCACACTAGCGTGTGAATTGTAGTTGTGAATGGGTCGGGAGTTGCCCTGTGGCTGCAGATTCTCAGGGGCATTTTTTTTCATTCCACTTACACCAAGGTCAAAAACAAGCAAGTCTTCTTGTTCATCTCTGCTGCGCTTGAGTTCACTCATGGCCTTTCCTCTGTGGGCTTCTTCTGGTGGAGCTCTCCTGTTAGATCCCTCAGCTCAGTGAGCCCTGGAAACATCGCTTGTTTCCTGCGGCCCATATGGCTTTTGAAGTGGACGCTGAAGGTCACCAGATTCAAGGGAGGCTGTCGGGCTGAAGCTGGCTTTGGGGTTTATCTTCTGGGGTTCACATTTTCATTGTTTTCGGCCTCTGCACATTGTTTTAAACTTGTTTTTGTTTTACATTTTTATCATTTTGCTTGCATTTCAAAAGTGAATTTTTATATTCTACTCAGTTTTTTAAAATTTTCACTGGATCGGTCAGTGTAGCCCATCAATACTGGAGCAACAGAAGTCTCGCTTCTAGTATTTAATTATTTCTTGTGCCCTACCTTTCCCTTAGTTTCATTTATTCTTGCTGCCCTTCCCCCCCCTTTCTTTGCCTCTGCATGCATGTGCATGCACGCACACACACACACATGCCTGCACACACGCCATTCACTAGGGTTTACCAAAATGCCCAGGCAGAATGTATCCCCCACACCCCCCTCTTCCTGTGGCTTCCTCCTTCTTACAATGCTTCAAAGGCAGGCACTACCCGAGGAAGTCACCACCACTGGTTCCTTCCCTGCCTCACTTCCTTGTTGGCCTTCAGCACAGGTGTGGGATAAGCCAGCCCGTGGGAGCAGCCCTGTGGAAATCCAGGTGACAAGTGTAGACTCCCATTTTGGAATTTTGTGTCGATAATCAATCCAGGGGCATTCATCCGGCTGGTTGGCTCACTTATGCTTTCATCCATTCATTCATTCAATAAACATTTCTTGAGCACCTGCCCATGTGCCATTGCCTTAGTGTACTAAACACTAAGGACATGAAAATCACAAAGATGTCACCTCTCCCCTCTCTAGGGTTCTGCGGTTCTGGATGAAGTGGAGGGACGAAACCAATGTTTACGATAAAGTATGGGTGGCAAGGCAGAGCCAGCTGCAGGTGCTGTGGGAACACATGATGAAGAGGAAGGGACAGTCATAGGGGGATTCAGGGAAGCATTGGAGAAGGAGACACTGGGCTGGGTGTTGAAAGATGAAGATGTCTATCCAGGTAGGAAACCAGGGGGAGGGCATCTTAGCGGAGGGACGTCCTGAGCCGGGCATCTGTAAGGCGATAGGCGATACGGCTTTATGGCAAGTTGAAGGCAGGGTGAGAATGGCCTGTGTGTCATTCAGAGGAGCTTTAACTTGATCCTGCAGACGGTGGATCTGAACAGCACCCGAATCTGCCAGGCAGAAGTGCCAACATGGCGACATGCACTTTGGAAAGGGGCCCTTCCTTGCGTCTCATGGCTGCCATCGGGTGGACTCAGTGAAGCCTGCCTGGGTCTTCATCTTAAATCATGCAGCATAGGGGCGCCTGGGTGGCGCAGTCGGTTAAGCGTCCGACTTCAACCAGGTCACGATCTCGCGGTCCGTGAGTTCGAGCCCCGCGTCGGGCTCTGGGCTGATGGCTCAGAGCCTGGAGCCTGTTTCCGATTCTGTGTCTCCCTCTCTCTCTGACCCTTGCCCGTTCATGCTCTGTCTCTCTCTGTCGCAAAAATAAATAAACGTTGAAAAAAAAAATTTAAAAAAAAATCATGCAGCATAAAATAAGCTCTTGCATTTGAGTTTCGTGGCTTCTGTGTCCTCTTTGAAACAGACTGTTGTCCTTCCTTATCGGCTGGTCTGACCTAGCTATTGTACAGCAGCTTCCGTCTGTCTGTACAATCATGGAAAGGGGGCACGTTGGCTTCCGTTTCCTGGCCCAGATCTGGGCTCAGACCTATGATTAACTTTCACATAAATGCTGTCTTTGCCACTCTTGTCTTAAGACAGAGAAATGTAGGGGTGGCCTGGGTGGCTTAGTCAGTGAAGCATCCGACTTTGGCTCAGGTCACGATCTCATGGTTCATGGGTTCCAGCCCCGCTTGGGCCCTGTGGTGACAGCTCAGAGCCTGGAGCCTGTTTCAGATTCTGCGTCTTCCTCTCTCTCTGCCTCTCCCTGCTTGCACGCTCTCTCTCTCTCTCTCTTTCAAAAGTAAATAAACATTTAAAAAACTTCTTTTAAAAGATAGAGAAATGTAAATATCATTCCCAATTCATTTATATTCAGTGTTAGCCTGGCCAATTGGAGGCCCCAAACTTGGAGTGTGAATAAATGACATCACCTTTATGTGATCCAGGCTGCCTTCTCTGGATTCGTTGTCTGTCCCCAAGTGTCTTGGACTCTCTTGGCAAGCCAGAAGGGCTGGGTTGATCTCCAGCCTCCTGTTCATAGTGCAAAGGGGTAAAAACTAGGCACTAAAGGCTCCCATTTGGGTGTCATCTTCAGTCTTTTGGGCTCCCTCAGAGCCCCGGTGGCAGATTAGAGACACTTCTCGCTCTTTGTACCCAAGAGTGAGGGGAGTGGTCACTCTTCCTTGATGCCTATAGATCTCCAGTCACAGAGGCACTGCTGATTCCGTCTCCCATGATGGAGGGAGATGAGTGGCCACCAACATCTCTCGGGGGACACATGGTGTGAACCCTGTCACCTCTTCACAAATACTGTCCTCAGGGAGACCTACAGGGCTCATAGGACTGGAGAGCGTTGGCCTTGAAGGCTGCTAGTAGAGCAACCCCTGGGGCCCAAGTGTGGACAGGTGGGGGCCGTGAGAGTCTGACCCTTGCCTGGATCGTACTGCTGCCTGGGCACAGCTGTGCTTTTCCCTCTTTCAGTCTCTCACCCTGCGCCAAAAAAAAAGGGGATCCTAGTGAGGTCATTTTTCTGCCTCGGTCTCCCTCTGCCCCTTTAGAAACTGCTCACGTGAGACGAGAGAGCCCAGAGGGATGATAGAGCCGTGTTTTAGCGGCACTTGGAGCCATCTCCAAGGTTTGGCGAAGTGGCAATGAGAGTGTCCCCTTCACACTTTCCGGACTAGTTGGTGGAGATTTCATGTGAGCCAACACCGTGTCTGCTCTGCTTGGCTTCGAGGCATCACTCAGCGCCCTTGAGTTTTGCACTCACTCACGTGCGAGGGGCCTGGACTCTAGCTGACCTTGGAAAGTAGCATGTGGTCTGTAGAATTGTGCAGGGAGTGGTTGTTGCTTTCCCCAAGTGCAAGGGACCTTTTGAACCCGTGTGGGGTCATCACTGGAGCTGGCTGATGCCCCCTCTGGAGACACAGCCCATACTCATTGAGGTGGGAGAGGGCCGAGAATTTTCTTCCTGTTTCCCATTTCCCAGTAAATAAAAGGGGGGCATCGACACCCTCAGACATTAGTAGGCCCCTCGGGAGAAAGCAGTCAGAAGTATATTCAAGACTCATCTGGACACTTGGAATCCCCAGAACTGTGTCTTTGACTGCCTTTGACTCCTTGGCCCTGAAAGGTACTGCCTGAAGTCTGCAAGGCAGTCTTTGATTGGAGCCTAAGATACAGGCCCGTGGGGGCCCAGCCTCCGATTCTGACGGAGCCTGCGCTTTCAGACGCAGAAACACAAAAATCAAAAAATGACCTCCCTTCACCGTGTCCTCTTTGGGCTTTGTTTTCCTTTCTCAGCAACTTGTGTTCAATTCAGTGACCAACTGCTTGGGGCCACGCAAGTTTCTGCACAGTGGGAAACTCTACAAGGCCAAGAGCAACAAGGAGCTGTATGGCTTCCTCTTCAACGACTTCCTCCTGCTGACCCAAATCATAAAGCCCTTGGGCTCATCTGGCACGGACAAAGTCTTCAGTCCCAAATCGAACCTGCAGTACAAAATGTACAAAACAGTAAGTGTGGTTCTAGATTGTGGTTCTAGATTGCGATTCTAGATTGCAATATCAGGGTTGGTGTTGGCGGGGAAAGGAGAAAGTTTCCAAAAGGAGTCAGAGTATGAGCAGGGTTTGGGGGGGGGGTTGTGGCGTAGAGGAGAAGACGGAGGGATGAGCCAGGGTTTAGGGTAACTAAAGAAGTGCAGTTCCAACATTATCAGAAGAGGAACAGCATTCGACTCGATTGACAAGACATCTATCTATGAGCTTCCAAATGGCCACTGTGGTTCCTCAGACATGAGGAGTGCCCCCTATGCTGGTGGGGCTCACGGTCTAGTGTGACGCAGGAGGCAGGCATGGGACAGCTCAGAAGTTGAGCACTGGTGCCCACCTTGCAAGCATTCCCAGACCCCTCCCCAAACTTCTCAGGATCACTTGAAACATCTGCGCCCCTCACCTTTTCCAGCAAAAGCCAATCTAAACAGTCCATGTGTGGAGAATTTCCCTCTGCTGTTTATTTGGTCTGCTCCTATGTACATAGCTGTGTTTGTGTGTCTTTGTGTCACGGGATACCGTTTTCCTAAATTTGTCTGTGTGGGGGCGTTTTTGCGGAAGAATTTTCTCTGAAGCAGCAGTTAGGGGATTGTGGGGTGATGGTGATTGTGGGGCAAAGAACAATGTACTTATGTAGATTGTCACTAGCAACTTTGTATGAAAATCTTTGGAGGGGATTGGCTGGAGGTTAAGTTGTTGAAGACTGTTTGCTGGTTGGGATATGCAATGGCCAAAACAGACCGGTCAGCTCGTATTGCGAAGGGCTTAAAAAATACCAGCAAAATGGAGGAGGCAAAAATTCTATTTATAGTTTGCAATACATGAAAGTTGATATTAATGCAAAATTATGATTCCAGTAGAGTTTACTGGAAAACACACACACACACACACACACACACACACACACACTCAGTTTAGTTTATTAGAACATGTGCACATAAGCTCACACACACTCATAGTTCATTGAAACACACAGAATCCCGTCTGGTTGTTTAATGCCTGTGCACTCTCTTTCAGCCTATTTTCCTGAATGAGGTTCTAGTAAAATTACCCACTGACCCTTCTGGAGATGAGCCCATCTTCCACATCTCCCACATTGACCGAGTCTACACCCTCCGAGCCGAAAGCATAAATGAAAGGTAAGACCTGCCACCTGCCTGGCACTGGGCACCTGGGTTCCACCAGGCTGGACATATGTAGAACATTTAATTAATCAGCAGGTCCCAACATTTGTTCAGTTGCAATAGCACAACCTCTGGCTGGAGGGGTCTTCATACTTTTCTCCAGAGCCGCTCAAAAGTTTAACACGTGGCGTGACTTTTTCAAAATAAAATGAATTGAAACTGATTTTGCTTGAGAATTTTTTTAAAGGAAATTTCCATCTTTCTTTGAGATCAGTGGAGCATCTCAGGTTTCCCAAGGTTTTCCGGGTGGCAGAAACCAATAGGAAGGTGATCTGGGGATTAATAGGACCACCCAAGCCCGACCCTGTCCTCAGCTGGGCTCGCTTACGCAGACATTCTGGATCTGAGAGCAGTGGGTTGTTTTGTTATTTTGCTTCAATCGTGTATTCAAGGCTCTGCCCTACAGCCAAATGAAATAGATCATTTCTGAAGGGCGAACTTGACCCAAGGCCAACCGACATTTCAAAGGGCATTTGTGCCAAACAAGAAAACTGGCCAAGGCTAGCATACACATGGGTCTCCGAGAAATGAAGGAGAAAGCGTCATGCCAACTACTTTGCTCGGAGTGTGTTTGCTTTTCCCTAGAAAGTGGTTCCCTGTCTGGGAAATGGTTTTGTTCTTCCCTTGGATGGTTTAATAAGAGAGATCCTTCTGGCCTTCTTTGGTTAGGCAAACATGGGGTGCTTTTTAAAAGAATTAATTAATTAATTTTATTCAATTTTTTTTTTTTTAATTTACATCCAAGTTAGTTAGCATATAGTGCAATAATGATTTCAGGAGTAGAATCTAGTGATTCAGTCCCTATATAAAACACCCAGTGTTCATCCCAAGTGCCGCCCTTAATGCCCCTTGCCCATGTAGCCCATCCCTCCACCTGCAACCCCTCCAGCCTCCCTCAGCTTGTTCTCTGTATTTAAGAGTGTCATATGTCTTGTCCCCCTCCCTGTTTTTATATTATTTTTGCCCCCCTTCCCCTATGTGCATCTGTTTTGTAATGGGATGCTTGTCAACAAGGGAGGAGAGAGTTGCATGCCAACATCTCCGGGTCAGCATTTCTCTTCCACAGGGGCACCAAGGCCAAGGCAGGTCTCGAGCATATCAATAAAAATGCCACTCCTCCCTCCTTATTAATGGTAGGAACAATTATTAGCATCATTTGACAGAACACCAGACTTTCTTTCCCAAGCCTTTGTTGTTCAGATCAAATGAACAAAGCAGGTAGGGTCCTGGAGACTGAATTCGAATGGACCTGAGACCTTTTTCCTGAGTTCTGTTTGGCACCTTTCTGTCTTTTTATTTCCAAGGACTGCCTGGGTGCAGAAAATCAAAGCTGCTTCAGAACTCTATATAGAGACTGAGAAAAAGAAGCGGGAGAAGGCGTACCTGGGTATGCATTGCTCAGTGGCATGGACTGTTTCCTGCCGAGCTGGGGCAGAGAAGTTTGGGCTCAGAATCCTTAAAGCTGGAAGATGAGCCTGGAGGCGGAGGGAGGCTGAGAAGGGACGGGAGTGGGGGAGGGGAGAGTGGGGTGCAGGATGAAGGGTGGAGCATCTACCCTGGTGGAACAAGCCAGCCAGAGTCTGAGGGGAGAAGGGGGGGTGGGGCAGCTACATAAAACTGGTCTGAGGCAAACAGGGCTGGGGAAGGCACCAAATGTTTCAGTGAAGCATCTTGTGTTGTTCTTCCCGCTGTCGTAGTCCGTTCCCAAAGGGCAACAGGTATTGGAAGGTTGATGGTGAACGTTGTTGAAGGCATTGAGCTGAAACCCTGTCGGTCACATGGTAAGGACCTCAAATTCCCTCTAGCATGGGTTGTTGGTAGAAGCCTTTTCTCCCTTCCCCCCAGCCAGACTTAAGTCAAATGTGCTGTTTCCATAATCCTAAATTTTCCTTCCAGAATTGGCTTTCCTAACACTTGTTAAAATCTAGAGGTTTTTGTTTTTGTTTTTGTTTTTTTCAATTTAATCCTTCCCACCATTTTGCTTTTCAGAGAGATCCGGGTGGTTGCCGTTTCATAGTAGATGTGATACAGTCTAAGGCTATAGCAAAGAGACGGGAAAGGCTTAATTTTAAAGTCCATTAATCTAATTATTTAAGTGTTATCAATATTTATGTATTAAAACTTAACTGTGATGCTGGATTGTGGGAGTTTTTGCCCAGATGCTCCATTTTATGGCACTTATCGAGTGTGGCAATGGGAGGGGGGTGGTAAAAATGAGGGACATGGAGGGAAATTGCTGCTCATCGTGGCTGTGACCCTGCCATGCCGTGCCCAGAGCCCTGCAGCCAGGTAGGAGTCTAGCAGGCTGTGTCCACTCTAGGAAAGAGTAACCCGTACTGTGAGGTGACCATGGGCTCCCAGTGTCACATCACCAAGACGATCCAGGACACTCTGAATCCCAAATGGAATTCCAACTGCCAGTTCTTCATCAAAGACCTGGAGCAGGAGGTCCTCTGCATCACCGTGTTTGAGAGGGACCAGTTCTCTCCAGACGGTGAGTAGAGAGCGGCCTCGCGAGGTGCCCTTCCTCCTCTGTCATCCAGCTTTCAGGGGTAAATGTTTTCTACCTGGGACTTTGGTGCCCAGGATTTTTTTTTGACCTCCCCCCAGAAAGATGAGGTTGGCGCAAGGCAAGACTCAGCCTCCCCTAGGAAGTGGCCTTCACCGATGCTGGGACATCTCAGAGAAGGTGAACAAAGCACGCTTGGTCTAGAGTGGTCCAGCTGCCCTAGATAGAGAACACAGTCCCATGCTTCCCTACAGCACGCGACTGCAAAAAAGACTGTACCCCAGAGTCTCAGCCCAGTCCTTTAGTTCCGGGCCCAAAGCCACGGTGATAATGGATAAAAGTAGCCCGTTGAGCAAGAAAAGTGTCAGCCCACGACAGGCGTGGCAAGAAGCAATCAATGCACTTTGGGTGACATGTCTGGTTAATCAAAAGGATGAAACTGTGGAACTGGGTTGGATGAATCATTCCTTCAACCCACTTCCTGCTTCTGCTTTGAGCCTGGAAAAGAAGGCACCTGGCCAATGACTCCAAGAAATTCTCTCTCTTTTCCTCAACTGATAAAAACCAGAGAGTAAGTCTGAAGATGGCAGGCTCAATTATATCCAAAGAGTATAGGGAAGTGCTAGGAGTGAGGGGCTTCTGCTAGCTTGGCTTTTGCCTTTTAATACTTTTATATGAATCATCTCATTGTGAGTTAGGTACCTTTGGTTATGGTCTGAAGACAGGCACATAGCTGGCTAAATGTTAGAGAATGCCCAGAACAACTCTCAAGGCTAGGCTCTCGACTACCGTGTTTCATTGCCAGTTTCTATTCTGACGAGTGAAAGTTTAAGACTGGTCATTTTAAATAGTGAAATAACAGGACACAGTGACAACTCCACTAGGGTATAAATTGAAAATCCTAGTGTTGTTCTTATCTAAGAGATTATTCCCACGAAATGAGCATAGGGCAAAATAAATTTGCATCTGTCCACCAGAAAAAAACTCTCACATCTTTTTTTTTTAATTATTTTTTAAAGCTTTTTTTTTTTTTTTCTTTCCAGTAATCTCTACATCCAACATGGGGCTCAACTCATGACTCAAGATCAAGTGTCACAGGCTCTTCTGACTGAGCCAGGTGGAATCTTGAAAGGTTGTTTCCTGTACAGGAGTGCCTGGATAACAGTATATTCCACTAAATAATTCTTGAATGAATAAATGAAGGAATTATGGTCTGGAGGCCCATTTAACACCATTGTGTAATTGCCTAATTTGAAAAGAATTTTCAAGTATGGGGCACCTGGCTGGCTCAGTCTGCAGAGTGTGCAACTCTTGATCTCAGGGTTATGAGTTCAAGCCCCACATTGGATGTGGAGCCTACTTAAAAAAATAAATAAAAATTTTAAAAAGGGGGCAGGGGTACCTGGCTGGCTCAGTCAGCTACGCATCCGACCCTTGATCTCAGCTCAGGTCTTGATCTCAGGGTCGTGAGTTCAAGCCCTACACTAGCTCTGCACCAGGCGTAATGCCTACTTAAAAAAAAAAAAATTAAAAAATACAAATATATTCACATCTGTTCTTCTACTGGTGCTGAATATTTGATAAAAAGTGATGTTGAGATAGTTTTGGGAGCGGTGTTGAAAGCATGCAGCCCCAGGCTGTGTGTGGCCTCCTCTCCCACACCTTGCATTTGCTCTCTGGCACATGCAAGGGGCATTTTAAGGACCAGCCCTAGCTCACCATCTTTGCTTTTTCTGAAAAGGATGTGACATCACAAAGTGTCCTCTTGTGACAAACCCTGGGAGATATTACTTTTCAATCTTTGTGCAGCTGATATGGCATCCAATGTTGCATTGCCTCCCGGGACGCTTCTAGGCCTTTGGAGGTCCCCAGGTGTAGGGACTGTCATCGTCTATGTTTTTACTTCCTTCTAGCCTCACCTTCGTCCCCACCCTGGTGTCCTTTTTTTTTTTTTTTTCCTTTCCCTCCATTTAAAACTTATGCTCTGTCATTGTGGTTCATGGATTCCTATAAACTGACCTAATTCCCTTTTGGAAGAAGGGAGGGTATAACAAGTCGCTGAGAAATTCCCAGTGTGCCAAATACATGCCATGAAGTTAAGGAATTCTCTCTCTGAGCAGGGTGTTCTTTCTCCTTTCAGATTTTTTGGGTCGGACAGAGATCCGTGTGGCCGACATCAAGAAGGACCAGGGTTCCAAAGGCCCAGTTACAAAGTGTCTCCTGCTACATGAAGTCCCCACAGGGGAGATTGTGGTCCGCTTAGACCTGCAGCTGTTTGATGAGCCATAGGGAGCAGGCCCTGGTGTGCTGGTAGACTTCCTACAGCCCAAGGCAGCAGGTGGGATCTGGACATGGGGTTGCTTTTCTAAGACCACCGTTGGATGTTCAGCCACAGGGCAACGGGACAGTGAAGACAGGCCCCTCAAAACTTTTAGGAATAATTCTTGACAATCCTTCCCCCGCCCCCAAACAAGTTCCCATTTTATGAAGCAGAACTGTCTTCCTTCATCCTCACTGCAGGCCTCATCATGGCTTCAAGGGTCTTTGAAATCCCATAGCCCCCAGCTAGATTTGGTTGGGAGTCTGGCCCATCCCTGGGCTCGAGGTTTGGGTCTGGTCACTGTAAAATAGATTTATAAATGCAATGTCTGTATTTTTGGAGAACTCATGTAACCTTCCACCAGTCCCCAGATAGGCCCCTGGGGCCATGATGCCTAGTCCTTCGTGTGTTTTAGAAGTAACTATGAAGGTCTTGCCATTGCTTCAGAATCTTATTCCCCCACCGGGACCTTATTTGAAATGCTGCCCTGGATATGATCAGTCGGGGAGGTGGTCTCCAAATCAGACAGTGGGCTAGCTCTTTGAAGAGCTGGTCCATGGAAGATTCTAGCAGGTGCATTGTTAGAGCCCTTCCAGTGCCCTCCAGGTCTTTTATTGATAGATGTCAATGAAAACTATCACTAGCTACCTTCAGGTGACCCAGTTTTGATTTCCAGCATGCTTGGAAGATGGTTAAGGAAGCTTGTTATCTACAAAGTTATACTTTGTTGGATTAGATCACCACAGGTCACCTGAAAGGCTACTTTACAATGTCATTGGGCCCTGGTTGCCAGCCCAGTTGGAAAATTCTCTTTGGTTTGGAGGTCCTATGATGTTTCATGACAAGAGTAATCTCTGGTGACCAGCTCTGAGCCTGCTTTTGCTTGAATGTGCCGGATCCTGATTGTCATGAGAAATTCTAGCAGCTGTCTTTGGTGTGTTCCCAAGAAAGAAACGTCCCCAAGACGTGAAAAGGAAAAGTCACGATCCGGAAGTGGGATGGAAAGATGTAAAGGAACTCCATTACATGCTGGGGGGAAGGCCCTAGGAGCGTACACGCCTCACAAATCTGGGGAGGAAGACCCAAGACTCGTTCCCATATTCTTCCATACGCAACCAACCTCTCAGTAATGGAAACCCATGTGCTTGTTGCCAGAGTCAGGAACGTATGACCATGTGCCAAGCTGTTTGATTTGAGTTCTTTGATTTTTTCCCCCCCTTAATAGCCAGGAGATAGGCTGGTTAACTAGATAATAACTCGATTTGCTAATGATAAGTGTGGGCCGTATTTTGTTCGCATGTTAATGTTCTCCTAATCCCAGTTTGTTGTGGTCATGACATGTTCTTTGCATGTTCTCTTGGTACTGGAGTCCAGCTTTCCTGTGTTAGACAGTGTTCTCTTCGATTGTAGGTCCTAATTTAACTAGGGTTGTAGAAGTGCTTTGTAAGTGGTAGCATTAACATAGTGGCCGAGTCTCCACTTTGCTGGGAACTGAATGCATAGTGTCATAATTTCCCATAAGAGCTCTGTCATATTTCAAGCAATTTTTAAAATGTGTGTGTTAGAAAGGGCGACAAAGTTTACATTTCATACTTTTAAGAAACACTTTATTATTTATTTATTGAAGATAGCGTAGAATTTTGTATCGCGAACAAACAGACATGAGTATTTTTTAAAACAGACACACCCTTTAGTTAGAAACTTTCAACTGAACACTGTTACAGACCAAGGTGAACTTCAGGCATGCATTTGTTTACCACTTCCCAGAAGAAGATATAGTGAAAATACCTTAGGTTTATATTTTTTTGACGTTGTTAAGAAACTGTGTGGAATTAAATCTATAAATAGACATACAACTTATGCTTTCCTATTTCTATACCCAATACAGTTTGTTCAGTGTATTCGTGAAGGACGTGTTCTATGGTAGAAAAAAAAACGTATGCAATGTGTCAGTGGGGTAGTATTGGGTCACCATTCCAATCCCTTTCCTTCTGTTCTCCCTTTTCTTCATTGGCTTTCTTTGTGCGTCAGGGCTGGTCATCGCTGTTTATCCAGGTAGGATGTAGTGTGAACAATGACAAGAATCTTAGTAGCCCTTTTAGGCCTGCCGGTCACCCCCTCACGGCATCACCCACTCGCAGCGTCCCATCATCGGAGTTAATGTGGCACGAAAGAGCAGTATGTGAGTCTTTCTCCCAAGTGACTACGTTGAGCATCCCTGAGCTGCCTCCTCCAGGACAGCAATTCTGGATTGGCGTCCTTGCACTCACTGGTGTAATTCGTACTGTGACCGATCCTACTTGTGGATGACGTAGTCTGGCCCTGAGATCCAGCTATGACTCAGGAGTCATGTTGGGGTGGGGGAGGAGATAGAGAAACGTGGACGGTGCACGGTGTCTCTTTGACCTCTCTTTACAATGACTTTGCAATGTCACTGGGCCCTGGTTGCCAGCCCGGTTGGAAAATTCTCTTTGGCTTGGAGGTCCTATGATGTTTCATGACAAGAGTAATCACTGGTGACCAGCTCTGAGCCTGTTTTTGCTGCCGTTTTCTGGCTTTTTGGCTGCCTGGGCTAAATTTCATAGAGAAGAAATGTCTCTTTCCAATAAGCAATCCGTTTCCTAGCGCTTTGCTGCTAAATGCAGGGTTTCTGTAGGCCACTATAGCCTGGCATTCTGATCCCAGCCCTCCACATGCCCTTGTAAGTTTCCCATCTGCTCTGAGCCACACTGACTTCCTCTAGCCCAGCAAGGGGCTTTCCTGCTCTTAGGCTGTGTGCTGAGAACAGGAGCCCTTGGACTGGGGTTTTATGTAGACTAGCTCTCCTGAATGGACAATCCGTATCCTAATCCCTCTGGGCAGGGTTTCTCTGGCTGGTGCTGTCTTCCCCGGCAGGCAGGCAGGCAGGCAGGCTGGCAGGATCATCTCCTGGAAACAGGTCTGCTGTCACCAGGAGAGCCTGGAGGGTGTTCATTCACATCCTGGGCTTGCCTGACCCCGAAAGGGGGACTCTCCTAGGCTAGGGTCACCAGGGATGCTTGAGAAACTGGAGCCAGATTTCCTTGTTTGACTGCTTGGATGACATGTCCCTGTCCTCTGACGGCAGGAAAGAGAACGGCGCTCCAAAGAACATTAGTGTTAAAGGGGACTTTTTTTTCTTCTTTGCTTTTTTGAAGAGCTTGAGCATGACCTACGTATGTGAAGGTAACCGATTTCATGTGGTTGAATAGTACTGAATTTAACTGAAAAAAGAAAATCCCATCAGAAAGTGGGTAAATTGATCACTTGCATCTTGGTGGCCTGGTACCCACCTCCCCACCCCCACCCCTGTGACTTCCGGGGTGGGAATGAAGTCAGGGGGTTAGATGCTAGAGCCACCAGGGAAGGATGATTGGAGGTCTGCTGTCCAGGACCAGGCAGGTGAGCTGTCCCTTCAGGAGCTGGCTGGTGCAATCATAAGCCACTGACCATGCAGAGTGGGAGCATTCTCGAATCCGGTGGGATTGGAGAACGAGGGGAAATGGATGAGTGCTTCTGGTTTTATTAGAAAGGTGGAGATTTAGGAGTATAATTTAGAGTTTGCCAATACTGTGTATGAGGAGAAAAAGACTTCTCCATCTCTACTCCAAATAGCCTTTTCTGGTTGGTTGGACTTTTTGATTCGTCAGAAGAAAATTTGTATTTGTGTGTAACAATGTTAAAACTTTCCGTTGGAAACAGCTAGTGGGTTTTCATTGTATTTCATGTGCTCCCTTCCCTTCCCTTCTCTTCCCTTTCCTATCTTTTCCTTTCCTCTCCTCTCCTTTCCTCTTCTTTCCTTTCCTTTTATTCTGACTGCCTTCTCCTTTGAGGTTGGAGACGAGCTTTACAGCAGACACGAGCACTTTGAAACGGACACTGGCAGACTTCAGAGGTGGTAGGGTCTTTTCAGACTCGAGGTGAACGTGAGGTTAGCAAAGGGTCTGCTTACTCCAGATGGACTTGCTCTACACATATAGAGCCTCTGGTGCCAGAAGGTGAGGTTGAGGGAAGCAGTCGGTCCTGGCTGTTTCTCCTTTGCTTTCTGGTCTAGGAGGCCGAGTTCCTACCAGGTAAAAAGCATAATGGGTAGCACCAGAAACCGGTGACAAGGTGAAACCTCCGATGCTGTGGTCTGAGCTGCCCTATGAGGCATTCGGCGAAAGTAACACCTCCTTCTGTTTGTGCCCTGAGGTGTCGAAATGCTTGCAGGCCTTCCCCTTTCTGCTGGGAATAGCCCAGGTCAGCAGCCAAGACTCTCCTGGCAGTGCCCTGAGCTGTGTTCTGTGGGGGCCGCTTAGTATGGTGCAAATCAAGTTGGCAGGTCTATCGTGCTTGGAAAACAGCCGTTTATTTGAGCTGAAGGGAAGGAAAGTTCTAGAACTCCCATTTCCTCACCCCACGCTGTATCAGATCCAGGATGTGTTTGTAGGTCATCACGCTCAACTGAGGTACATCACCTGATATCCGTAGGAGCCAGAATCTATTCCTGATAAGCATGGAAATCTTACTCCACGTGAAGGGTAGAAACATCTAACAGCTCTCTCTGTCTTGGGAGCGTGAAAACCCAGATGCCAACATGTTGGAGTCTTATCTCTGGGCTGTGATCTCTTAGTAACTCAGCCAGTGAGGCTAATAGTGTGTTGTTCATTCTGGGAGTCCCCACCCTGCACCAGGCCACTGTCTTAAGGACTGGGAGATACAGAGGAAAGGCCTGCCTCTGTGGCTTTCATGGCCTAATTGTAGATCTGACTTTGAGTTATTTAAATACCACCCAATGCTTGTAAAAGCTCATCTCCACCTCTAAATAATTATATCAGTGACAGACCAGTTCCTCCATTAAGAGAAACCCTCATTGCTCTGGCCTTGGAGAACCAGATAACACATACATAATAGAGTAAGTTTTTGGACACTGTATGTGGTTGTGGTATTTCAGGGTAAATTTGCCCCTGCTGTATGTCAGGGTTTGTGTGAATTTTTTTTTTTAATGTTTATTTTTGAGAGACAGAGACAGAGACAGAGACAGGGCGTGGGAGAGGAGCAGAGAGAGAGGGAGACAGAGAATCCCAAGCAGGCTCTGTGCTGTCAGCACAGAGCCAGACGGCGGGGGGGGAGGGGGGGGGGCTCGAACCCACCAACCGTGAGATCATGACCTGAGCTGAAATCAAGAGTCGGATGCTTCAACCAGCTGAGCCACCCAAGCGCCCCTGTGTGAATTGTTTTTAAGTGGATTCTGTTCTACTTTCTATAGCAGCCTGTATTGTTAATATCATCTGAATAGTGCGACTATTTTAGTATTCAAAGCCCACCAGGTAAAACTGCGTTCAGAGGTGGGCTCATTTGGTCAGTCTCGAAAACCATTGAGCGTTTCTCTGATATTTCCTGAGAATTAAGCAGTCACCAGGGTTTCTTTTTGTGCAGTGGTAGGAATAGAGACCTTTCTTCTACAACACCGGTTTTGTGCTTTTGTCATTTAAAAGAATAACATTCCTGCGCGGCTGAGTTTCTAAAACTCTGTTCCCCTGCGTTTCTCCTCTTATACTCAAATCTCTTATTTCCTCCCGCGTCTCCGTCTGAAAAGAGCGGGGGCCTAGGACAGAGCGGGATTCAGGAACCAGAGAGAGGGGTTTGCGGTGTGGTTGAGGAATCAGCGGCTGCCTTCCTACCCGCCGTGGCCGCCAGGGGGCGATCTCCCGTTGGAAACCTGCGGTCCGCGGGCGGCGCCGGGGGCGCTGGTTCCACCTCCTGCGGCCCCCGCGGTTGCATGTATGGTGTTGTGAGAGAGCGTGGGGCGGCTGTGTGTGGGGTCTGGGGTGTGTAAATGTGTAGCGTGTGAATGTGCGAGTATGAGTGTATATAGTGTGTGAACGCGTGTGGTGTATGTGTGTGAGAGGATGCGTGTGAGCCTGACAGTGTGTGTGGCGTGTGTGATACGTGCGCTGTGCCTGCGTGCGGTGTGCACGTGATGCGTGTGTGGTGTGTGTGTGTGTTTGCGTGTGCGCCCAGAGAAACGAAGCCAAGTGGATTGAACAGAGGAGCGGGCTGGCCTGACCCCACCGTGGTCGCGCTCAGGAGCCGCTACAAAATGAAGATCGGGGCCCCTTGTTGAAAATTACTAAGAAGTTTGAGGTGGTGGCGGCAGAGGATTGAACCAAGCACGTGGTCCCGTGTGACTGTGCCGGTCACGTGCTCGCGAAGCTGGCCCCGGACACGCTGTGTTGTCGCTTGGTTCTTGAGGCAGGTGGGGCTTCACCTTCTGTCTTCTCACTTTGTAAAGTCTCCCTGGCAGGTGGAAGCGGGGAGAGCTGAGCTGAAAATCCTTTTCAAAGCGTCTGCTCTTATTTCATAGCAGCACAAACGGTCCAGACTAACCAGAGGGTACGAGACCCAACCCCCTAGGTGACAGATGTGCCCCACGGCCAGAGAGGGAGTCATCTGCCCTTCTCTTAGCTCCCCGTCCAGGGCGTGCCCCAGGCGCCCAGGCCTTCAGGCCTTTAACCCACTAATTTGAAATGAGACCGTTCCCTTTGGTCTTTAGTCAGCCTCGGGGGGCTATTCTGCCCTTTCCCGGTAGGACAGGGAGGCCTTTTGAGCCTCTGCCTTCAGAGGACCATCAAGAGGAACAGGAGAAGCAAGGAGGCTGGGGGAGGTGCGCATGCCCCTTCCCCGGGGTCTGCACGCGGCTTGGTCCACGGCCACTCCCTGGAGAGAGAGCTGAGGCGTCTCCAGGCGTCTGGGGGCACCTGCCTCTGGGACGTGGGGCCTACCCAGCTCAGCTCTCCCTGTAGGATCCCACGGATGGCTTTGGAGGAGGGTGAGCTCAGGGGAGAGGAAAGAGCCCCGTGTGTGAGTAGCCTCAAGTTTTAGAAGTCCACGGCTCTGCCAGGCAGGTGAGCTTGCTCGCTGTTG